ATAATTAGAACTAAAGTTATGGCCAGTGGTGCGTAACTTTTGAATAACCCTGTATGACTTGTTGACATCATGTGTTATTAGAGTAATGCAAGGTTAATAATTTGAAAATGGTGTTACTCAAAAATATCTTGCGAGTTGAATAGGTTTAGATTTTGATACTTCAATGCTACAGAATGATGCACACTAAAGCCATGGTGAAATAGCCCAGAAGAATCAGTGATACTGGCCTCTCACCGCTTGGACTGTACCTCGCTCTTGGCACCAAAACAAGCTGGTTCCTGTTTCTTTGAGTTTTCAGTATTATTGTGTTTGTAGTACCTATTTCAGTGCTATGAGTGATTCAGGATCTCTGGATCCACCTATCTCATTTGAGGGAATGTTAACAAAGGGTGCCTAGAATATTCATGAGGCCACCTCTGCCACCTTGTATCTTGGAGATAAAGCATATCTCAAGGAACTAACCTGGGCCAGCTTGTGAGATATCGAAAGTGATCCTAGTGGGGGTACTGATGACTAGTGGTAATCTGTTTAGTGAGGATGGTTCTCCAATTACCTTAACTTTATCCAAGCAAACAACATTACAATGAAATGGAGATCCTGAAAAAAAGGAAAACCACATACATAAAAAGAGGAGCACTTTAAAATTAGACGATAAAAGATTCCATCCAAAGATAGGTCCAAAAGAAATTTTTTATAGTTTTTTTCAAGGCTATGGAAGGGTGGATAATATTTTTAGGACAAAAATTTTTCTGAAACAATGTAGTGTAAATTGATCCCCCTCCCCCCACCCTCTTGAACGATTTCACATAGAGATTTAAAATGTTGGGTACATTTGGATCAATAGAAGCTACTTTTAAATATACATTAATAAAATGGGGGGCTTATATGAGGGGTTTGGGCCCCCAAATTCTTTTTTCAAAAGGCAGCTCCCATTTCGTGAAGTGTTGTTCGAAAGACAAAAAAAAAAAAAAAAAAAAAAAAAAAGAAAAATGAGAATTATTGTAAAAATTTGAGTCAATAGCTCAATTTTTGAGTGAGCTGTGACAGTTCAAAGTTTCAAACAGAGTAATATAGCCAAGTATCCGAGAAATCATCAGTTTAATTTGGAAACACTTCTTGAAAAAAACTGTGAGTTCAAGGTAATCAGTAAGTTGGTTCCTCTTAAAATCACAACTCTTCATATGGAACATTTTGAAGGAGGTCACGGATCCCCTAAAACTGCTAGATTCTTATGATTCTCGTTTTATTTGAGAATGCTTTTGACACTTTATGTTCAGCTGAAGAAATCCAAAAGCCATTAAAGACTGACAGCTCCTTCCCCCTCCTCTTTTTAATGCCACTTAATTTTTCTCAAAAAACTACTCTTCTTGAGCAGGATTTTGGTCTGTGTATAAGGATAAAAGGACAGGGAAAGGCGGGAGCAACATTTTGAAAAAGTTGCGGATAATTTTTCAGCTGAGCATTGAGTGTTGTAAGCAATTTTGAAGTCATACTCTTAGCATTAAATTGACGGGCAGTGCTGATTGAAATGAATGAGATTCACCGAAATCCTGGAAATTTTTTTTTTTTTTTTTTTTTTAAATTAAACAGCACCGAACACCGCCCACGGATATTTCAAACTTTTTTTTCTTTCTTCTTGAAGCACCGTAAGGGTACGGGTCTGAGGGAAATACCACCCAAGATGAGAGAGACCTAATGACATTAACAATACCTAGGATTAAAGTTATTTAATTCAGATTATACATCACAGCTATTAGATGATAAGATTTTTAAATTTTAAATTTTGTAACAACTTGGGTGATAAATGAAAAAAAAAACTAAATAAAAGAAAAAAAAATTCTCGGTGGCGGTGGCCACCCCGGCCCAATCCTAAATAACTCCCCCTAAAAAGTTGACGACCAAAAAAAAAAAAAAAGTTAGACGGATGGCTGCTGCCTATATACACGGAAAAACTCAATCGAGCTGGCCTGCACGGTTTGCAGTACATTTAGTTTTCCTGCTAATTAAGTCGTAGAGTAAACCCCAAAAACCCCATACTTAGTATTTGGGTAGAGTATAGTCAGCTCTACTCGTAATGCCCTCGCTTTTTAAATTTAGTTAAAAATTAAAAAAGTTATTACACTTTAACGATAAATTTTGGACCCCCAAACATGACGATGATGGAATTGTTGAGCAGATTCTGTGGCCCGCGAAACGCTCGGCCCCGAGAAAACTGTAGTGTGTTTCTCAATTGACCTACAGCTATAACCGTAGAAAAAAACCCTACAAAACTATAGATATTTTGAAACTACTGTTTATGATCCCCATACATATTTTTGCAAATTTGAAATAAATGAGACATAAAGAAGAAATAAAGGTAAATAGGTCATTTTCAAGCGTTTCCAAGGTCGACCTGCGATCACAGCTGTGGAAGTAATGGTAGCATAAAACCCATTAAACTAGGTAAAATTTAAATCTGTAGACTCTAGAGATGGAACTTTTGGTACTTTTGCAGACTGACACAGGCGTCGAAAGGAGAATTAATCAAAAGAAGGAGGGTCTGTCAAATCTTCAAAAAATTTGAATTTGTAAAAAGAAATTCGTAGAACCGCGCGATGGATGGTGAGCGTCGACTCCAGAAACCAAATTTTAGGTTATGTTTCGGCTATTATGGCTTTAAATATTTAAATAATAAGAATAAAATAGATTAATTGATGTGTGTTTCTATTTTATCATATCCGAAGATAACTGGATCCATTTCTATATAATCCTTTTGTGACTCCCACACCCTTGATAAATTTAGTTGTCACAGTAAGTATTCAGATCACAACCTGTTATTTCTTCCCAGCGGCCCTGATCTAGTGATCTTTTCAAGTAATTGTTCATGAATGATTGATGATATCCCATTGTAGTGCGCCCTAGATACTATTTCTCTTTAATCAGATTCAGCAACTTTTCACCAGAAAATCATGCTTTCCCTCCATACGATGATGTATGTCGTGGATCTCAATCTGTCGCGAATATGAAGCTGCGTTTCCACTTTCTACTGAAATTTTGCTAGCAGCTTACCTCCTCTGAAAGTGATGTGTCTTTTCTCGGTGTATCATGATACTAGTGCACAAAGCCTCAATGTTTTCATAGACTTGGGATGCTTTATATTGGAAAACTGGCTAATGCATTCAATGCGTTCAGAATATTTATTATCATTTTCCGATTCCAAGGTGATATGAAAGTCCGAAAATGCCCATGATAACTTCGGGAAAATTGTCTGGTGCTCAGGGCGCCGCCATTTTGAATTTTTTAAAATTGAAACAACCCACGATCAGTTCTTTTAAAATGCCTCCTCAATGGTTAATCTTACGAAAAAATAGAAGAAAAAAAAACCGCAAAAACAACATAGAACCTCGTTCCGAAATCACCCTTTTTTCTTTCCTGGCTAAATTCTTTGGTAATAAAATTAACGTTTTCATCAAAAATTGGCTAAATAAAGGCGCATTTTTGCTGATTTCTAAAGAAACCTTGGTTCATATCTCCAGCCACGATTATCTGCGAAAAAAAACTGTTAAGCTCTTTGAAAAGAGTGTAAAATTTACTTTAAGCGAAACATATGTTAAAAGTTTCAAAGCTTGGCTTAATCCTGTGAAACAGCAGTTTATTAGTTCCGCCCTTGAAATAGGATTTTGTCTACTATTTTCCTTACAATCAAGAAAAAAGAGAAAAAACCCCTAAAAACTGGACCCGAACTGTGTAACAAGGTGACAAAAGAGTGCTAGGTCCACATTATTTTGCGAGGAAAACAAAACCAAAAAGCTCAAATATTTTGAGCTCTAATGAGTAGCAGTACAAAACTTGCCGTCTTGCAGTCAGGGCCCAGGCGTCACGTGAGCGAGCGGAGCGGTTGCTCCAAGCGCTGATGAGAGGGGGGCGCCGAAAAGTGTAAAGGAAAAAGGAGGGGGGAAAACGAAAAAGAGAAAAAAATAATATCTTGAAATTCAAAATGTTCTGGAGAGGCCCCCCTGTAACCTTCTCTCGGAGGGCGGGAGGGGGGGGGGGGTTAGGGGCTCTGACAACATCCATGCCTAAAAGTTAACGCCACGGTCCTGCAGTTGCAGTACAAGTTTTGTACTTTGATGTAGTCTTGGATATTGCAGGACGTTAAGTTGGTGTTAGGTTGGCGCAAAATAGTATGGACCCAACACTGTTTTGCCACCTTGTTACACAATTCGGGTCAAGTTTTCAGGGTTTTTTTCTCTTTTTTTTCTTTAATTTAAGGAAAATGGTAGACAAAAGCATATTTTAAGGGCGGAGCTAATAAACAGCTGTTTCAGGATTAAGCCAAGCTTTCAAACTTTTAACATATGTTTTGCTAAAAGTAAATTTTACACTCTTTTCAAGGAGCTTAACAGTTTTTTTCTCAGATAATCGTGGCTGGAGATATGAACCAAAGTTTCTTCAGAAATCAGCAGAAATGCGCCTTTCATTAGCAAATTTTTGATGAAAACGTTAAATTCACTACCAAAAAATTTAGCTAGGAAAGAAAAGAGGGTGATTTCGGAACAAGGTTCTATGTTGTTTTTGCTGGATTTTTTTTTTCTTTTTTTTCTTCGTAGGATTAACTGTTGAGGACGTATTTTAAAAAAACTAATTGTGGGTTGTTTCAATTTTAAAAAATTCAAAATGGCGGTGGCCTGAGCACCAGACAATTTTCCCGAAGTTATTATGGGCATTTTCGGACTTTCATACCACATAGGAATTGAAAAATGATAATAAATATTCAATTATTAATATATTGAATAGTGTGTATTATTTAGTGTGAATTAATTTTGTGTCTAATGTTGCACCTCTGTCATGTCCTCAGTTTCTACTTTGATTTGTATTGAGTAAGAAAACAATGACCACCGGAAAATTCTCTTTTAATCCAACAAAACCTCTACAACTTACCTAAGATTGCTTTGCTCTTCCAGCTGATATGAATCTCATAGACACCAACCTGAGTTGGAATGTAAGTCACCTCAAACTCTGCTTCTCCGCTTGACACGACATTCGTATTCACAAGACTGTGGTCAGGACCAGAGATAGAAACAACTGGTTGCTCAGCTGTGACAGGCCTACAGCATGAGATTGTGAATTTTGTACTATTGTTGAGCAATGCTTTTGACAGTCCATTACCCCACGCTCTTGTGACACCGGATTCAATGACGTTGAAGGTCATCGGGGAATCTAATCACAGAAAAAAAAGTATAAGAGTTGTAGGAAACCTTTCGCACTGTTTGATAGAGGGAGCTTGATAAAATATTTAACTTAAACAGCGAGTGTACAATGAATAGAGACCCTAGAAATTTGTTCGCGCAAATTTTCAAAAAGTTGTTGTTGCATCATGGGTTTCCATTGATTTCAAATAAGTGATCGAGAATTTTGCGAATTTCGCCATTTGGTGCCACGAATTCACGAATTTCTGCGTAATTTGCACTGTAGCTGGAAAATTTGCAAAAGAATGATCTTGATCGTGTTTGGAGCCGCTGATCATTCTAGTGGGTGGGACGCGGGATATTCCGTAAAACTCCAGTTTTCGTCGTCGACTAATCGTACATTTGCGTTTCATTTCGTAGCAAACCATTTGCACTGACAACCATTTTCTTCAAATTTGCCCCTAATCACCTCAATATTTGAATACTCAGTCCTGTACACGACTGCATGATTAATACCCTTTTCCCCCCTCTTTTTTCGGGGATTTTTAAAAGCTACCAAACCCTCCTGTAGAGGATAAAATTTGTTTATCAACAAGTTTCCACTTTCATATTTTATTTATCTTTACAAGAAAAGGTGAATTCATGATCTTAATTTTTATTTATCTGAGAAAGAGGTTCCAAACTGTACCGAAAATCTGTAAATTCCTCATACTTTCGTTTAAATTAAGAGATGAAAAGAAAACACATTTGTAGCAATAATTTGGCAGTTGGTAGCGAGAATTTTAGAAATTTCATTAAGAATTTTTCGATTTTCGGTGAGAATTTTAGGATTTTCAGGGCAAATTTTAGGATTTTCAGCAAGAATTCGAGGAATGCGGTAGTATTAACCTAACTTCAGCATGGAAGGAAATATATACCTGGTATTGAATCTCCTCCATATGTAATACGGAAGGTATAGTCTCCGGGTATAGATGGTTGAAGTTCAATGACATCTACATCATGAGCCAAACTTTTCATTTTAAGAGGTAAATTTTGGCCTGCTGGATCGTGAACAGAGACGTCTAATTCTGAGAATCCTGCATTCTTCCGCAGCACTGAAATAGGCAGATTGAGGGAATGAGAAAGGTGGGCTGCACACTCGACAATAACACTGAGCATTAAGAAGGAAAACAGGTTCAACTGATTCTTCATATGAAGCTTAATGTGCAAGATTGCTGTAGTGCACCGGGAAGAAAAATGGTTTGGACATAATGCTGGTCCCTTATTGGCCACGGACTGAGAAATTCTGGATTTTACCATAATATGACATGGAAATCATGGAAAAACTTTCTTTATATACTTTTTCTTGTGTAATGCACCTTTTTTTATAGTGTATCGATGTACAGAGATCATCCAAAAATTTTGAGGAGAGAGGAAATTTCTGGGGCTTTCTCCGCTAAGACCCTGAAAAGGCCATTGAGAATTGACAGTAAAAAAATTTGACTACAATATTTTTAAAGACAAAATTTTAACATGCCATTTTATTTTGACGATATTTTTAGTGAGTTGTCAATAAAATTAAGTGAGCTACTAAAATTATTTCACAAATTGGCGAGATATCAAAAAGTAGTCCTGAAGATTAGAGGGTTCTTTCTCAAAACATCCAAGGAAATTATACATTCATGCTGACCGGTGAATGAAGCAACATTTTAATTTTGACATAAATAAATCAGCTCGTTTTTCTTGTAGTAAACCATTACCTTTTTGTAAATTAACTACACTTGCCTGTCTGCGTTAAACAAAGGGACTTACCTTTGAATGAAATTGTGTCATTTACAGAGACATTATTATCAGTATCCTTTTCTACCTTCACCTTTGATGCATCATACACTTGACACAAATATGGTGAGCCTCGCACAGGCCTTGAACCTTGCAAAACATCAATTTTGTACACTCCTGCAACAGAAAAAATAATAAAAAGACTAAAAGTTACTTTTCTCAATTAATAAAAGAATTTGTTTTAAGCAAATAGTTCAAGTGCATGTGTCTACCCAAGGACTAATTTAGAGTTCAAGTGACAGTCTTTCAAGGAGGTGCCTAAATCCCTGTACCTTGATGTGATGAAACAGAGTCCCTTTACTGACAGCTTCAAATTTTAGCTAACACCCCCTACTTTGAGGAGGCTATAAATTCATACCAATACACATTCGTAGAGAGTCAACCAGACTTCTGCACCTTGCCTGAAAATTTTGGAGTACAGATACAGGTTCCGAGCACAAATTGATGATGGGGTTCAGGTTTGGGTCCAGGAAATGAGCCAGGAGCCTGTTACGAACTTCTGTTAATGCAAAAATAAGAATTGTTTCCGATAAGGAACTGTCTCAAGAACCATATTGATATGCAAAGTCGGAAATACACTCCTAACTTCACAATCTGCATGAGAAATTCGGGATTTTTTGAGACTTCGTTTCTCCAAAACGATACTACGACACAGAATAAGATTTCGTTAAAGGAGACGTTCCATCCAACCCCTGCACACTGCGATGCTGCTGGAATATTCAACATGGCGAACACCAATCCCCGAAAACACATGTGATAGGACGAGATTCTAACCACCTATTAGCAACCGGCGTGTTTACATTCACATTTTCCTGGCATTGATGAAAATTCACCTTGATTAACCTGGTGCTCCCCTCGATTAGCGCGCGGAAACGTTGACCATGTTGAATATTACATAGCAATGTAGCATCCTAGTGCGTAAGGGTTGAATAGAACGACTCCTCTAACGGAATGTTCACCTGTACTGTAGTATCGTTTTTGCAACGGGAAGTTCACAGAAATGTTAATTTCTTGTGCACATTGTGAAATTAAGAGTGCATTCCAAACTTTGCCAATGCGTTCATTGTGATTTTTGAGCCATTTTCTATGGAAAAAAACTCTAATTTTTGCTCAAGCTAAAGTTTGCAACAGGCCCCTTCCTCTAGATCCAGTCCAAGTTTATGGTCAAGGAAATTCTGCGAAATTCAGGTCCTGGACCGGTTCAGTGAACGTCCCTGTCGAGAAGCAAAAATTTTATACATAACCAAAACATGGACCAAGAGAACAGACAAGGACTCCCAACTTCAGTTAGCGGCGACACTAGCGGTGCCTGGCAGAGGGTCTAGTGCACTAAGCCAACGATTGGGTTCTCCTGTTCCTGTTCCATGGTTCCATGTACCACCTATTCAGGCTTATCATTCCACTCAGGGCTCATGGAAGTTTCTAGATCCTCGTGGTCGTCCTGAGGTTCTGAAGAGTTTAGGGTGAAAAGTTTCCCATTTTTATTTCAATCTTTATAAGTCTTCGAGTACATAAACTGGTAATAATGTGAAGTGTCTTTTCTAACCTTTTTATTTAGCAGCAACTGCTGTTGAGAAAGCAAAAGGAAGTGTGTATGTAGTGTGCAGCAGGATTTTACTTTTAGCCAAAGGCGTTTCTTTGTTAGAGAGAAATCTTTTTAGAGAGAGGTAGCGTTGTACTGACAAAATAAATTAACTGAGTGTCACAAAAGCAGCGATACTTGACTTTGAGCATTACCTAAAATTTGATTATTAGCAAATTCATTCGATTCTGCGTCAGAGGTTGACTGAATCATCAAACTTGCTCGTGTCTTGATAAGATACTTCAAATCAAAGTCTTTTGCATTGACCTCTGCAGAAGATATGTATCTATGGTGTTTCATTAGTTTGCTAAAGTAAAATGTATTAAATTATTTAAATAAATAAATCATAGATTTACAACAAACATTGCATGAAGTACTACTATGGACTCATTTAGTCGTAACGTCACAGCCCCACAACATTGCGTACAAATTTAAAAATAATATTTAAAATTTGTTTAAACTCATAAAATCAAGTCAACACATATTTTTTTAAAAATGAAGTGGATCACATTTAAATTAATTTACTGGAGTAACCTAATAAAGACAGTTTTAAAAAAGAATTTAGAAGTAAATTAAGATAATTTTTTCAGTTAAATATGATATAAGTATAATACTCATTTGTATATTATGAGTTCCTTTGGGGACTCCATTGATCTTAATTTCTTTTATAGTACTTATTGAAACGATCCGAGGATTAATTCGGCCCTGATCTTCAAGAATCCGTCTGATATCTAATATAATTTCGGGCCATCTGTTGATAATCCTTTTGGGAAACTGTGGTTTCTATTTGTTTTTGGTACGCTAACATTGCTACCTACTATAACAACAAGAGTGGCGTTTAACGTGCCTGTGCCTGGGCGACGCTGGGCCATCTTTACCCGGCACGGGGGGTCTACCCCTCGTTACAAAAGGTTAGCGGAACCGGGTTCGTTCCCACGTCCTCAGCATGCCAACCTGGGATTGGGCTTGCCCCAGACCGGTACCGATGCGCTCGGTGGGCGTTCATCTCCGGCCGGAGCCTGGGGAGTTAGTTGATTTATATGATTTGCTCTGCTTAGCTTTAACAGTTTGCTGAAGGCTCCCTGTTCCGCGCTTGCGGGCGGTCGGCGTTATCCTTACGCCTGGCTAGTTTAGGCTGCCTAAACCGTTAGGAACTCCCTTTACGGGTGTCCAAAGTAATTCAACGTCTTCCGACGTCGGGACATTGTCCCTGGCCTTCAGCGAATTTGGCCTAATACCACCGGCAGAGGGAAGGATCTTCAGCGATCCTCACCCCTACCCCGAGCCAACCCTCCTTCACTCGGGGCCACACAGAGTCCAAACCCGTGGAGGCCGCAGGATTGTATCCTGTGGGCGCAGACCTCCCCCTGTGTACCAGGATTCAAACCGACGCCTCGGTAGGGGGGGCTTAACAGCCAGGGCTCTTGGTTGGCCCGATGCTACCTACAGTAGAGGTAAGATCGTGGACCACTGTGGCGTTGGTTCACCATAGAGTACCTACATAGCTATACAGGTACTCTAGTTCACCACACCCTCTGCCAGGTTCGCTGCGGTCACGCGGTAACGGAATTTACCACAGGCTTGGTTTGGGAGTTGGGGATCCTTACTTATTCTCTTGGTCCGTTAGTTCATTAGTTTGCTAAAGTAAAATGTATTAAATTATCTAAGTAAATGAATCATAAAATTTACAACGAATATTGCATGGAATACTACCTACTATAGAGGTACGATCGTGGAACACTGTGGCGTTAGTTCACTGTACCCTCTGCCAAGTTTGCTGCAGTCACACGGTGACGATTTTTAACACAGGTTTAAATAGGGAGTTGGGGGTCCTTATTTATTCTCTTGGTCCATGACCAAAATCTTGTCAATGAAAAATGCAACAGTATAGTACACCATAGTCTTCACGAAAATATTTTCTTTAGGAAAACATACTCTCTTCCTTGGGCATTGAAAATTTAATATCGCATAAATCACCCGTTCAGATGCTGCAAAAAATGATCGTTCTTTGTTCTGAGCTGCGGAACAAATACAAAAAAAAGAGTAATTTATTCTGAGTCCTGTTTCGGCAGAGTCCATGTTGAGATTGTTGGGGGAAGGAAGGAGGCCCAAAACAGGTCTGTCATCCAGACCCCTAGAATTGCCACTAAAAGAACTTTATTACACTGATTACGCACAGACGTAGTGCAGTACTAATAGTCATGCAAACTGTGAAATGCCTGATTTAAATGTTGAGCAAATGAGGAAAAGGCAGACTAAAGGCACTCAGATGAAAGATGAGAACCCAGTGAGATAAAGGACCCCTTTTTTTAATCTTGCAAACAAAAAAGATGCCTTCACGTTCGTTTTACTTAAATCTTAATGAATCTGACTCTGACTTAATGGCGGGGGCGGTCATACTGGGAGTCATCAAGTAAAAAAGTTTGGAAGCAGACTCCTAGCTCTCCTCCACGAAGATTTTAATAACATTTTGTACTTTAAAAGTGGATACTTGGGACCCATTAAACCCTTGAATAGCCATCTTGGCTCTACTAAAAAAATACAAAATTTTAGATAGGTTTGATAATTTGGCCACCATCTTAAATTTTTGGTGCCTTTAAGGATCCATAAGATTTTTGGACCAAAAGTTTGCATTCTCCAATTAAAGATAAACATAAATAGACACCTTATTCAACACTGCTGAAACAAGACTGTGAGCTTTGGTAATTACCGGTGTTTGTTGCTGTGAACTCTGCCAATAAATTTCCATCTTTTTGTTGATAGCAGCGAACGGGCACTGCTGCTCCTTGAGGTCCAGTTATTACTACATCGAATTCTACAGAAGGCCTTCCTGCAGTCTCTATTGTGAAATTACTAACACGGTTCGCTCGACATTGATATAATCCTACACCACTGGCACACACATGTCTCCCGACTGCTGGATCTGTTACACTTACTTCTAAAGGACTGCCTGTAAAGAGATAACACCAGAAAAGATACACTACACACTGAGAAAAAACGCTTCCTTAATTTAAGTAAACGCATATATTTAGATTTTAAACTAATTCCACAATTGGTCCGACTTGGGAGAAAGCACCGGTTTTCTTGATGATAGCCATCCGGATTCTCTCGGAACAGGGAAATCCTTTTTTCTTAAATGAAACAAAGGTTTTTTTAAAATAAGCAAATGCGTATTGGAATGAACCTGTTTCTTAAAATTATGAAACAGGGTGACAGCCCTCCGAGGGGAACGATGCAATTAGCGAGACGCTGTTCCCTTCGTGTCAGCCAACAGCTTTCTTGATGAAAGTAAACCTGTTGCATCGAGAGATGAAACCAGGTTCCTTAAAATTAGTAAACGGGGTGAGTCTCTTTCGGGAAAACGGATCTGATGGGTCATATGCCGTTGCCTTCTTTCAAGACGACAGTAAGAAACGAGTTTCCTTAAAATTAGGAAACAGGATGGTGACGCCTCCTGAGGGGATAATGCATACAATAGCTGCTAGATGTCGTCAGCCTCTGCTTTAGCCAACATATTGTATAGAGGAAAAAATGAGCTTATTTTTCAAAATCGTAGTGAACAAAAAATACGGTTCTTCTTAGGAGAAAGGGCGCAGAAATGCAAGGATTAAGATATTGTGATTGGAACAGGGATTGGGGGTCGGTTTTGCGGGTAAAATCGATGGTTAGAGCTATCTCACGTCGGAGAATCTGGGTGCGCACCCACTTACACAGAATATATAGGCTATATGAAGGCTATATTCTGTTGGAGTCTATTTTTGGCGTGAGTCTGACACTCCGAAATACGTCTCTACCCATTGAGTCTACCCTTCGAGGGAGCCCGTTCGCAGACTTACAGTAGCTGCAGGCTCTCTCGAGAGAGTTTATTTTCTAGACATCATCGTATTGCACTCCCAGTATAGGTCCGGTTTTGATGGCACCAGAGACTCACAAGATAAGGTCCGTTTGGCTGCCGAATTCAGCTGCATGTCAGTCAGTGTTCGAAACTCACAGGCGCCAACGCGCCAAATGCGCCAACGCGCCAAATGCGCCTAAAAAATCGGCCATGGCGCCTAAAAAATGAAGGCTCTGCGCCAATGTGGCCCCTAAAAATTGCCCCTCAAAAATCTGGATTTTCACAGTAAGTCACATAAAGAAAGAAAAACAAATCTATTTGAACTGAAAAAACTCAGAATTTTCAGCACTACAAGTGAAAGTTTGCTTTTCCTATTCTTCACTATTTCATTCTTAGTGCTTTTGTTTTCCCCAAGTTACAGTTACTTACTGTTTCTGTTACAAAAACATGTTGCGTCTAACTTTTCACTAAATGCGCCGTAATATATAGGCTAACAGTCAATTTGGCCCCTAAAAATCTTCAATGGCGCCTAAAAATCGGGCTTGATGTGCCACATGGCTCCTAAAACTCAAAGGTGAGTTTCGAACACTGGTGTCAGTGGAAAATTCTCGAAGTTTGACATCGGTGGTGTTGCGGGGATGGCACGGGTACGCCGTGAGCTGATGTACATTCATGCAGTTTACGGCGAGCATGGTTTCCGGAGAGACGGAAACCAGGAATCCCCGGTCGCGGCGGAGGAGCACTGCGAGCGTAACTCGACCAGGTGGTTTGACAGCGGGGGTCGGTCGACGTCGGGTATCAGGCTAGAATTTTGAGACTGCTATGAGACTGTTAAAATCATGGGTTTGGAAGTTAAAGAATAAAGATGCCCATTATTTGTGTCAACCAAATAAAATTGTTACTTAGGGAGAGACTAATTGCATATGTCCTTTCAGAAGTCACTCATATGCTTGGCGTCAACAAAAAATTAAATAAATAAGAACAGAAATAATAACAGAAGAGGAGGACGATATTTGCAAGGTTTTAAATAGAATGGTACTAGGCATTCAAGGTTTTTATTTTTATTTTCAAATGAAAGGGTTCTCATAGGGAGGAATGTAAGTCATTTTTGAGTAGGTTAGAACTAGGAGTAAAATATAAGCTGAGTGAAATATAGAGGTAATCGAGGATTAAACATGTTTCATGAATAAATTGTGACTGTCCACGGAAAAAGGCACCTTAATCCACAAGATCTAAAATTTGAGTTACTGATGCCAGAGCAAACAGAGCATCAGTATTAAAACTAAAAAATTAAAATCGCCTTTGTTTAGGGCATGGAATTCATTATGCAACGTTCCACCCAGTATTATCAAAAAAAGAGATAAACCCCTCTCAAAACTTGCTTATTAGGATGCTAGAGAGAGTTAATCGTCGGAATCGTTGAAAAAAAAAAATTCTCACAATTTGATTTATACATCCAACTAGATACCTAAAAATCGCCCCACAGGCAATGTTGCCTTTGTGGTCTACATTTCCTTTTTCCTTGGCCTGTCAAGTGTGTAGAAAAAATGATTTTTTGCAATTACACTTCCTTAAAGTAGATACTTTAACTTATCATGTTAAAAGAGGTTAAAAACGGAAATGCAGCTATCATCAGATCCTTTAAATCCCAAGAAATGATGAACGCTTGTCACATGCGCTGAATAGTACAATAAAGGAATTTTTGGGGTTCATCAAATCAATCCGTATTGTTTATGAGTACATCCATATAAGTACCAATCGGAAAATTATTGTAGTAGGCTATAGCTGAGTTGAAAAGAAAGGATAGTGTTTAAAGTTAAATTTCTGCTTTTTATAAAGAAGTATTAGTAATAAGGGTGATATAATACACAAGTATGTAAACAAAAATATGCTTCTTAGATAGCTTTAATGTCAGGAGGTGGAATGTGGATAGAGTAGAAAGAAAGATTATATGTTGAATAAAGCTAAATGATCGGTTTTAACACCTTAGTATAAACTCATTACATTCAAATTATATGATTTATTCAATTTTTGTTTTACTTGGCTTTATCAGTTATTAAGAATACTGTGAGCCCAAACCGAAAAAAAAGTTCCCTGAACTCACGGCCGAGACGCGCATTAAATCGAGCAAACTGTGTACAAAACATTATTAAGGAAGCATATTTTTTAAAGTAAGGAATCAAAACTATTAATATTTAAAAAAATGTAACAATCTCAGTCGATCAAAAATAAATAGTTTTTACGTCCCAACATTTTCGAAAAGTTTAAATTATTTTCTTTAATATTGTTTTTTCTTGTTTAAGTTTAGAGTGATTCTTTAAGAAAAAATGAAGAAAGAAAATTTTGAAAAAGTTGCATTGTACTAAATTATCTTTAAAAAGATTAAAAATTAATATAGAATGGAAAAAAAAGACAAACATTAATAATAAGGCGACAGTATCATGCGTACTTCTTTTTTGCTCCGAATTCATTTTTTCCAGTTCAAAAAATCTAAACGCATGAGGCCTCACACAATCACCTTCACAAATGGCGGGAGGGTACTGCGTAAGTCAATGAGCTGTGTAGTGTAAATTCGCCCATGAAAGGTTCAAGCGCCAACGGCTCAGTAGAAAGGGTGTTAGGTTCGTAAACTGTAGGTCCCAGGTTCAAATCCCAATAGGTAGGCAGTAATTTGCAAGTCGATACTTGCCGTTTGATTGCGTGTTGTGTTTGGGACTTTTCAAATAATTGTTTGAAACTAACCCAACATAGTAAAATTTAGAGTTGGGCCGAAATGGATTTTCCGCGTCACCGGATCCGGATATCGATTTTTTGTATCCGGCCGAAGCCGGATAACGGATAATTCGCCAAGGTATTCGGCCGGAACAGGGTAATACCGGATCCGGATAGTGCTTTTTCGCGCGAGAAAAATCTCCCAATTTCGTGCGAGAAAAAGCTCCCGATTTCGCGCGAGAAAAATGTCCCGATTTCGCGCGAGAAAAATGTCCCGATTCCCCGCTTGGGACAAGAGGCAAACTGTGTGTTATACCATCAAGACTGTCATCCACGATGTACGTGCCTTCGCTCCGGCAATCGCCATATTTTTCAATGATACGCTATGAGTCGGCCCGCTAAAACGAATACTAAAAAAAAGACCTGGCAGATAAGCAGCATAGCTTTCATTGGCTTCATGGTGTGATGGGCCAGATGAATCTGATATGCAGAGAGATTATTAGAAGTGTGCCTAAACAAGACGAAAGTGGAAAACAGCGCTTTGATGCTACAATAATAAGCTGCGTACTGCAACATTACAATAATTGCAGAGTTACACTTGGACTAAGAACGTTACCAACAAGGAACTTCTGCACATGTTAGTGGCATTGTTTTTTTTTTTTTATATCTTCCACCTGCACCTTCGTCTTTGAAAGTGAAACAGGCGGACTTTCGGAATGAAGGGTCACGGTGCAGTCGTGTAAGTGTGCGGGAAATGTCCTTATTCCAGTGATAATAAGTTTCAAAAAGTTGAACAATTACAATGACTGCACACAGTGCGCCGAAAAATGCCAAACTTTTACCAAAACTTTCTCGAAATTTTCACGGCTGTAAAAGCACTACCTGGCGGATCCAAAAACCGAATATCGCGATCATCCGGCCGGATACGGACACCCGAAAAAATCGTATCCGGCAATCCGGATAATCGCCGGATACCCGGCCCAACTCTGGTAAAATTAAAGTTTGACTACAAAAACCAGCTCTTGAACATTAAATTATCTTACCAACTATGCTCATTCCATTGTAATGCACATGAACTTTATGTAGAGCTGCTAGTGTTGGATGATAAACAACTTGATAGATGCCAGGTTCAATTTCTCGAATCACATGTTTGACTTCGTTTCCAGCAGCACTAACTTTTATGAAGAGGGTACCAGGACCGGCTCCAATTGTGTTAACTGAGGATAATAAAAATAAATCATTTTTGTTGGATTTGTTAAAGATATTAGGAGGCTTTGCTCTGCAACTCAAATTACTGGAAACAATTTCTGGCACTGTTCCACAGTTGGACTACATTTTGCAATGGACCAGTAGCCAAGGTAAGAAATTAAGCATTCTGATACATGTTTCTTGATCAAAATTTCTTGTAAAACACAATGCGCTCGACAAAAATGACTAAAATCAATTCCTAATCAAGATATTTGGACGTATTTGTGCTAAAAGGAACTATGTAGCATGGAACCCTGCACACATAGTTCTTTTGAACATAAATTCATCTATTAAATGTTTCTTGACTAGTAAATTCAAACCTCCCACTTATGAAAACAGAAAAGTTTACAGGAGTCAAATCGCGCTTTAAATGATACCATCACGGTCTCTGCATATAGAAATTTGGCAACCTGAATCTTGGTGCTTTGACTCAGCTGTTGAATGTTGTTATCTTTTTGAACAAGACAAAGCGCAAAAGGAACATTGCTTGATTAAGAAAACTGCCAAGACCATTGTAGAGCGCGTTTTGATTCAAGTAGACTACCGTTTTACTTGTTAGCGGGGAATTCAAATGTCCCATAACCAAAGTAAACTAAAAACTTTAATACCTCGATTAGGAGTTGATTTCAGTAATAAATATTGCGCGAATTACGTTCTACGTTAAGTTTTTGGTTAAGGAACATGTATTGGAATGTTTAAACTTGTACCTTGCCTACTAGTCCATTGGGAACCACTGTATTTGGCTTATCTATAGCAGCACCTACCTATATACGGGAATCTAATGGCCATATGTTGTTTCTGAAATGAGGCAAAATGAATAGTTCCGTATTGCAAACTGTAGTTCACTTTCATTAAAAGAGATTATGAATAATAAAAGACATAAGGCTAACTATAAGAAAAAAAAAAAATAAAAAAAAATATAGAGCAATTTAACAGGGTTTAGCAACCGAGTCAAATCTGCATGAGAGCTTTGAAAAAAGACTGATGTGAATTGTGCAATACTGGTAAAATATGTTGAATAGGGATGTCTACGAATAGACAATTAAACAGAGTACGGAATCAAGGACCACAATATACGTTTCCTTATAATAAAAATTTTACGAAATATACAATGGATGCATTAAAACTTTCTAGATTCATTCTACTCAATAGTTAGAAAAAGCGGATGTTGTCTACATTGATTCATACTTCTTGCTTACCGAAAAACCGCTGTCTACTTGAGTTAATCAAGTAATGAACTAATTTTGGTATACTTTTCAGTGGAAGAATTTTTCCGCACACTTTCGTTTAAAAAATCAAGGATACCTTGGATCAAAATAGGGGGCAATGTGTTCACACCAAGCTTTCTATGTAAAATTTTACTGTACAACAACAAAAAAAAAAAAAATGAAAAAAAAAAACCGCTTCCCAGCCACAGTGGAAACGGAAGGTAGATTTCGACAAATCGTTTCTATGAAATGATTTGCACCCAATGAGCCTGACAGGTCGGAAAATCGTCCCCCTTGAACTTGAGATTTTCAGAATAAAGGGCGGTTTTAGAGGGTGGGTGAATACAGGTTGTTTTGAAGGCCACGACAAGACAAGTTTTTTGAGGTATCACCGACTAAGATCGGACCAGTTCGGAAAATCATCCCTCATTGGACTTGAGATTTTCTGGATAAGGGGTGGTTTTAAAGGGTAGATGAATATAGGTTGTTTTGAAGGCCACGACGAGAAGAGTTTTTTGAGGTTTGACTGACGAAGATCGGACGAGTTTGAAAAATCATCCCCCAGTGACCTTGACGTTACTGAACTAAGGGATAGGCCGATTTTCACCGAAAATGAAACTTGATTGAGACCTCATAACAGTGAAAACCATGCTCAGTTTCGTTTTGATCGTATCGATAGTTTCGGGAAAAAACGGTCGCAAAGTTTCGTTAGATCCCACTTTTAATATATATATCTATACTATAAGCTCCGAGACCTCTTAATTTTGCGTGACTGGTAACGCTTAGTTCCAGCGTTCTATCGGGCCGATTTTCATGATTTTTGTAGCTATCGACGGGCAATTGTCTCTAGATGAGCCCACTTTATTCAGATTTTCAAAATATGATCCAGGTTTTTTTGTAATACGTGGTAAAATTGCGAATTTTCCATTTTAAAAATTGTAAATTTATGTTTTTTGTCATAGGTAGTTCGTTTGAGCATTCTACCTGGCCGATTTCCATGATTTTTGCGTACATCGACAGCTGATAGGCCCTAGATGAGCCCGCTCTAATCAGATTTAGGAAATAAGACCCAGGTTTTTTTCACAATCAAGTTGTAAAAGTGAGCGAATTTACAGAATGCTTCGCAACCTGCTGCCGCTATGCGCAGAAAGTTGCGCAGTGGCTGATTGTGAGTAGCCTGCACATCAGCTCTCCTTATCAACACAAGATTCGCCCCATGACCTCGAGACGAGCGGTGGCCGAGTCGTCTAAGATGTCGGCGGCGCCTATGCGGATCAAAATGTGGGTTCGATCCCCGACTTCTCAGCCGTTTAATTATCACCCGATTATCATTGTTCCTTGTTTTACTGCAATATTTCATTAAGAAGTCATTCCAAAACGCATCCTTTTGACTTCAAAAAAACTTTTTTTTTTCTTTATACATCAGAAACAAAATTAATTTCATTCTACAAGTAAAGTATACGTCATATCGTAATTTTTTAAGGGAAAAATAAAACCAACATTGATAGGAGGGTAAAAATAGGGCCGCAAAGCGGCCCATTGACGGCGAGGAGCGCCTTCAGAGGGTTGGGCCGCGTAGCGGCCAATATATATACATACCTCGAGCTTCCAGTCACAAATTTTCGCAATCTCTGCATACGTTTCAGAGCTAACATGGAGGCCTTCTTCAGTGCTTCTTAAAACTCACATAGATATTACAAAATAAATATAGTCCCAACGTTAAAATCACTGTGTGAATCTTATGTGAGTTTTAAGAAGCACTGAAGAAGGCCTCCATGTTAGCGCCGAGACGTATGCAGAGATTGCAAAAATTTGTGACTGGAAGCTTAAGGTAAATTTACATATATTTCCACAGTGGTCAGATATATATGTATATATATCTTTTTTACGACCTACATTTTTCAACTCGGGGCATCAGGATCGATGCTCTTTGAGCGAAAATTCCCGAAAATTACGAGGTCGTACCGTCTCACGGTGGATCGAAACCTGCAAAAAGTCGGACATGGGCGATTCTCACAAATAGTCATTTCATTGATGTAAATGTCTTCCCAAAGAGTTATATTTTATGATACAGGTATTGGTTTTCAATTTTTTAACCCCAGTTTAACGCACACAGCCTCCTAAAGTGGCTCAGGCGGCACTCGAAAAATGTTGCCTCACTCGGGAAAAACCGTTC